TAGTAATGTGCCTGGCTGTGCGCGCTCTGTTGTCGTGATGCCCGACGTTTCGGCGTTTGCTCCATCTTTTATGCCTGGTGATTTCAGTTGCGATGGCGATTACACGGACTCTGGAGCCGCGTTCGAGTCTACGCCGTTGATGCCGCTTGTCGTGCAGCTATGGTATCGACTCACATGCCTGGCCTTCGCCTGTATGGTAGGGAATCCAGAGAGAGAGAGAAAGAAAAAAGGAGGGAGACGTGAAGTCAAAGGACAAAGACGTCAACCAAACACGTGATTGGTTAGCTGCAGTGTGCTTGAAATATGGGTATAGCGGCAAACACTCGGTGGGCTTGGCCAAGTGTCAATGAAACTAGGTTAAGTGATCGAACTATATCACTACACGCCATTCACCTAGTCTGCTATGAAGTAAGGGCAGCGAGGGGTGCAGCACTGTTGAGGATGCACCGTTTTCTCGTTTTCGTGTCCCATGACGTTCTTTTTTTTTCTGAATTCGAGGTTAAAATATTTCGTTTTCGAGGAGCTCACACACTGAATAATTTCTTAGTCACTGTTTTCACGAACGATTGTCATAGGTAGCGCCCTACTTTTCAACTCATGATAATTGATTTAAACGAGAAACATCATTCGCATGAGCGCGCAATGACAAAGAGAACACGTGCGCCATATTCGTGAATACGCAACTTAGCGCTTCACACGTCTGCCAAACAATGGGTAGCTTTTTTGCCTGTGCAGGTAATGTTTTGAAGGAGCCAGAACAAAGCCCAGATACACATAATTTAGGGGGCAGAAGATCAATAGGAAAAGATAAAGACGAAGAAATGGAACAGAAGTTCGCGTGTACTTTGAAGGTGGTAAAAGATGGCGCGTTTTTTGCGGTTTTGCGGCTGTCATTCATTCCGGGAAAGACTTGAGATCGTAGCAGTACTTTTCTGACTTTCCACCTTGGCTACTTCTGCTGGAATGGTGCTCCATGGTCGCAAGACTTTCTTCGGAGTGAGAAGGGCTCTATTTAGCAGGCTAATGAATGGTGCACAGCGCATCTGGTGATCTTTCGAAGAAGGGTCATTCACTGGTATATTGCATTGTTCCATCCCAAGCACAGGCATTCGCTCATCTCAACCCATTACTGCGGGCCTGCATTTATCAGAAGAATCACAAAGCGAAAGAGAATATCCACTTGCCACACAATCGATCCGGGTTCGGTCACCACTCGGACCCACAGAGCGAGGGAAGTCAGTTTTGAGCACAATTCTCCTGAGACCATCCCTAGCACAAACACGGGCCTACACAAAATGAACATGCAAGGACGTACAGTTTTTTTTCTTCTTTCTATAGGCATATTCATTAGGCAGGCGTGTCTCGTAGCTTTGAGAATCGGTGCTTTCGGGAAACCACAATGAATCGCGCTTCGCGCTTACATTCCCGATAGCATTTTTGTTTCTTCAGCTATCATTTCATTTTTTGTGGCGTCAAGCACTGAAGAAGAGCTAAACGCTTTCAATTTTCAGGAAACGAGATCTTTGGTCGGCCTACTCGACAATCAAGGCAGATGAGAGCAGCACACACACACTCTCTCTCTCTCACAGTGATAGCGACTGTTCCGGTTGAAAATAATCGAGCCCGCATTGTGCGAACAGGGCTGCGAAAAGACGAGCATCGTTCGAGAAGAGGTGAAAAAATAAGAAAGAAAAGTGAACACTTAAAGGAGCATATCCGATAGAGAGGGGAAGCGTACGCCGCTTGGCAGCCGCCTTCGGTTCGCCGCAATAAAACGACACATAACGAATCTCCTTTGTCAAGCTCGTGAATCGCGATGCTTTTTGCGCTCGCTCCTCCCTTCTTTTCTGTCTGGGACGGTCGCGAGGCCGCCCCAATGCGGGCACGGAGTGGCAGCCCGTGGTTTGCCCCGTGGTGTTTACACTACCGTGCTTATACGATGTTTGTTGGATATTCTTAGCAATCGAGGTTAGAATATCACGAATAATTTAATCGAAATACAGACACTGAAACAGTGTCAGACTGTGGTGAATGATGTGAAGCGAGGAAAGTATATCTGAAAGGCGACATATCTGAAGCATTGGATAAAAATATTAGTGCAGCGAAAGAAATGAAATGGTGGTGGTAAATTGGAGGAAACATATGACGGTTAACGAAAAAGTTCTACTGCCCAGTCCCCATATCATAATGGTCGAACTCGCGCACACTATTCTCGATGCGCGGAAAGAAGGTGATTACAAATGCTAACGAACCCACACACTATCGCAAGTACTTAACGTACATGGGACACACACTCCTTTGATCTCTACCATCTTGCAGCGAGGGGGGAGGGCGAAGCTGTGTTTTAACGCAATACATATCACCGCTATTGCTTTTTGTTTAAATTAAACGTCGCCAGCCGGGGATTAAATAGTGCACTAGAGCTGCTATTAAGCACACAATTTCCTCTCAATGCAGCGGTGCCCCGATTCTCTGGCAACCGCCACACTGTTACTGCCTTGACGCCACTCCAGTGTTCGCGAAGCTCCCGAACCAAGCTTTGCTCCCGTACGCGCCGGGCCAAATTGCGGCCGATCAAGGGAGAATATCTTCGTTTGGATTCCCGTTTGTATAAATATTCCGGGAAACGAGCAGGTCGGGTTCACCGTGCGACTGTCCTTTCCTCCTTTTTTCCTCGCCCTTTTACGGTCGCTTTCAGCCAGCCGCTCGTTCGTCGCGCCTTCGCTCGAGGGCGCAACGAGCGGCGAAGCTCGGCGGCGCGACTTTTAAAAGCGGCACGCGCGCCGCTGCGCGTACGACGTTCAGCTTCACTAGTTGCGAGCAGTGCTGCGAATGCTGGAGCCATCTTGGGCGATGCACGAGAATTACGGAATGAAACCCGGGCATCCGTTTTATATCTATCCGTTTGTAACAAGTATTCGAGTTATCACCGTGTATTCCTGGGTCTTAGGTAGACGTGCGCCAGTGCATGTCACCGCACAGTTTCGGCTGCTATTTCATTCAGCTTCAAGTGCTATGGGAAAACGTGAATGTAGCCTGCAGATTGGCTCGGATTGGCGCGATATAAAATAAATAGGACAAGTTGAATTTTGTTTCGTTTGCGAGAACAGTGCCACGCGTTTGTATACATTTATATTTTTTATACGCCAGCTCAAAAATGTAGTAAGTGGAATTGGGAGCAGAATGTGCTTCAGCGAACTTAATAACCCAAAAAGAAAGGTGTATACCATGAAAATATGAAACGAATTCAAGTTCTTACCATTTTTTTTTTTGTTTGCGGCTTAGCACAAGCTTGAAGTATCGGATATGTTGGTGCTACCGACATACGTTTTATACTGACACTATGTACCTTCTGAGCATACAAACACTGGAGGCTGGGGAAAAAAGTGTACAATCATTACGAACGAAATCACGCTACTAAAGGGTGACCATGTACCTATTTCTTCCAATTTTTCATTTAATAGTCTACCATAAAAATTGCCAATACTACTGTTCTTTTCTTTGCGTGTCAGCGCTGTCACACATGGCTTTAAATCTAGAACTTATCTCATAAAGTCGTCTTTACGCTAAGTTTCTCATCATACTGCCTAAACTGACTCTTCGGGGAGCATCAAGTGAGAGCAACTTAATATAGAATTACCATCGGTAACTTAGGCAAGCTTAAACTGGCCACAGAAGAAACATTTATTTGAGTAACAAGCTTGGTATGGAGGGATAGCGTACTGTGCGCTGCATTGCATAATAGCGCCTTCGATCTCTGCACTCTGCACAAAAAAAGAGAAAATAAAACCGACGACGTGCGATGCATTCGCATTGCTGTGGTGGTGGCGTGGTTCTATGTTCCAGCCGCAATTTTTCGTCGCTTGGGTTTTCTCCTCGTTAATAGTTACGAAGGACTTTTCTAGTTAGAACACGTGTGCAGAATACGTTGCCAGTGCCTCTGAACGCACTACGCAGCACGCAGTCTGCGTTACGTTACGTGTATTCAAATGGGCCACTTCATTCTACACTCTAATCGTAATACAGAGTTTAACACACGCAGTTAAAAGGGACAGCGCACAAATAATAAAAGAAATTTTAAGTTCAAAGCTCTTGAATTACTTATTGTGGTGATTGCATTAGTCTACCATTGCACGTCATCACCAGGCTGTCTCTCTCTCTCACTCTGTGTGTGTGTGTGTGTGCGTGTGTGTGTGGGGGGGGGGGACATGTTCATAAGGCGCTTATGAACATGTCCTTTTCGCAAAGACGCTGGCTTCAGTAATTTGCTGATGTATTGAGACACAATTCAAACCACTGGCGTAGCCTAGCAGCTAAAGGCTGCCTAGCTCGAGCTAGCCGGCTTTGCTGGAAGTGAAAGCGCCGATACCGATGGCGGCGAAAAGTAAACAGAACTCTAAAGTGAAGCATTATGGAATGCCAGGGGGTAAAAATTAATCGGGTGTCTTCCACTGCGGTACCCCTCTACGTCATATACTGTGGTACTAGCGATTAAAAAATTGACTTTATTATAAGTTCTTTCATCCATCATCATTCCACATACTCACGAAATGAATGCAAATGATGGGGTGAATCAGTGTACATCATATCGTGAATCGCGCCTTTCTATTTTGTTTTGGTTAATTGCGCTTTGTGTCGTTCTTGTTAACATTTTGTTGTGTCATATGCTTTGAGTAATGCGTGGTTAAATGTCGGTGTTCCTATAGTGCTGTGGCCTTTTGTTTGTTCCGGTTAAGAGCCCTTTGAAAAGCTTTTTGATGTTCTCAGATTCGGTTTTGGTTCATGTACCTGCGCTATATTTACTGTAGATGCCGGGCGGTGGTTTACGGACATCGTGCGGTCTTAAACAGCTTCGCCTCTGAAATCGCAGAGTTTATTCTTGAAAACAAGATATCCAGGGGGGTCGTCTTCGGGTTACGCGCAGACAAATTTACGAACTTGCCTTTGGCACTTGATAACTGACGCTGACCTCTCTTCTTATTTCGTTTATCTGCAGATACATCGGCTCACACATCTGCCGTCCTGTGGAAAGAAGAGCGGGCTGCGGCCCGGACAAACAGCGCCATGCTTTTCGGTGCAGGTGAGCCTTGTTGTCTGAACAATATATGTCCTCATTTTCATTAATATTTCATTCACTCACTCTAATCCTCTACCATTGTAGATTGCGTAATTATTCGTTTAACAATTACTTTCATTTTTTCCACATGATTTTTTTAATGAACACAAACAAGGAATTCCGTTCATTTTGAATACAGAAAAAATGTTATATTTATAGAGCACTACTCATGGAAAGTTTATTGTAAAATAATGAGCAACCATACAGAGCTCTAAATTCTAAAAAATAGTAAAACATGAATGCGTGTTGGGTACATAATTCAACAAATAATAGAAGACTCCAGAGTACAAATTTGAGATACTTCATGTGCTGCAAGGACTTGAAAAACAAGCAGTCATATATGTTGTCACACAGTCCCGTTAATTAGGGAGGCGATCGCCGGGCTAATTTCAAGGGCCGAAGTATCGGCCCCCCGAACCGCACCATGAAAGCGTGGACAATTTAGAAGTGGTCCCTTTTGGCGCGCCAGCGGACGCCGGCTGTGGCCCAAAGAACAAGTCAGAGCTGAGAGTTGATAAACAAACAAAATTATATTCTCAATAAAGGCAGATCAAAACAACACACAAGTATGCACACTCCACAACAATTGAGTACAATATGTCACCAAACAAACAACGTCACAGTACAATCAGCCACACTTGAAACAACGGACACAGACAACAATACGCACTACAATGCAGTCGCATGCATTGAACAACCAAGACACTTAAAGACTGAAGAGATAGAAAACCTATTCAGTCCAAAGTTCTTGGAACCAAAGTCTAGATGATACTCTTCCGAGAATCACTCACTCAAACTCCAGCGTTGTTGTCGTTCCGCAGCCCTCGAAGTTTCTCTTCCAGGAAACCTCGCCGAAGTTTCTCTTCCAGGAAACCTCACGTCTTCACTTGGCTACTGTCCAAGCTTCAAACTTCTTCGCCGGAAACACGTCGACTTCGCACACGTAGCTGTTGACACGCGTCTTCGCTCGATAGCGGTAGACACACGCTCTTGCCTGTAGCTCGAGCCTTCACCCCTCAGGTGGAAATCCTCTTCATCTCCTGCTTTGTCGCTACGGACAAAACCTTCGCCGACTACCCGGCGGAATCCCTACGCACTCTGGCGCTAACTTCCGTCTTCTCCTGCTCTCTCGTCTCGGCTGCTCGATTAAATACCTTCCGCGCGAGATTCCAGAAGGTTCTCGTCATTTCGTCGGCGCGATACGCAGCGAAGGCTGGCGAGAGGGCGAGACGGTTGGAATGCCCTCCGCGATGGATGACTCAACCCGGCGTGACCACGCCTCTTTCGTTCTAGAAATTTCGCGGGCTTGCTCGGCCGCCGATGTGGGGTGAGGAGGTTCGTCGGCGAAGCCACGCTTCCGAGGGGAGAGCGCGCGCCCGGGGAGCCTGTATGTTTCTTTTCTTTTTTTTTCTTTTGACCTCCCGGCGTCTCTCCCGCGCGTTATCGCAAGAATTTGGCGGCGCGCCCATTTTTAGCGCTCGTTCTGTGACATATGTATATTTTTTTATATTACACAGTACACCCAAATCCAATTCTGCCTCTTAGACACAGTAACTTGTTAGGCCCCAATTAAGGTTTAATCGGCGTAGCCCGTATTTTTCAATTTATGTCTGCAGTGACCCCATGATATTGTGATGGAATTTCACAGAGGAAAGGAACTCATTGCAAACTGGCAGCGATGGGGCCAATAAATCTGTATTTGTAGCATACTTCGCGACACAACGCATACAATGTCTGCGTCTAAAAACGCAATACAGATCAACGCCGTGAAGTAGTTTCGCATGACTTTTAACCATAGCGTGCGTGTACTCTTATGCAAGTACGCGTGCGTGCAGGAATGCACACACACACACACACACACACACACACACATACATACATACAAAATTGATGGTTAGCTTCACCCCATGAAGCCTCCTAATGTGGGAAAGCCACCTTTGCAAAACGTGGTAAGCGTAGCGTATGCACGATGAAACACTCAGGTGTGGCGACATTGCGGATACACCAAAGACATCGCCTAAGTAAAATAGGCGAATAACAATTGGGCATACTCAATTGTACAAATGTGTGTATTCTTTCAGTAATTTGTTTATTTGGACATTTTACGAATAAGGAAATACAGAATACATATTTGCAAACATCGCAAGCATTTGTGACAGTTGAGCACCTGGAGTGCTGTTCGGTGGCTTTGGGGTTTTCCTTTCATTTATGTAGCGGAGGCGAGTAGGGAGTAATAATAAATACACTAAACTTTACTAAGGTCATGGCAATATATAAAAAATAACTAGTATCAGGTGTAAGATTATCTATCGCTGAGGACATGCATGTGGATCCCTGTTTTGTTCTTATGCTTGTAACCTAGAAAAAGGTGTGGGGCCAACACTTTTTTATATCTCTCTTTCTCCTATTTTGTTTTTTTTTCGCTTGGCACATGAATGTGGTTAATAAGTGGTTGTTGTGTGCAGAGTAAAAAAATAGCGAAGCTGTGGAGGCAAACAATTACTAGAATACATTAGTTCAAAAACTATTCATAGGTGAAGGATGATGTCCTATGAAGAAATACTACCAAGTGTGTCTACACGTCAATTGCCTCAATACAACATAACGTAACCTTCGATCTCGTCAGTTGACACGCTCGTTTCTCTCTGCCTCGACTTCAGATTGAGCTTCGCATTAACGGCGGCGCGTTTGCGGCACAGGAGAGCCATCTCCAGCTGGCATATAATTAGTTTTCGTGACAGTCGTTGTATTAGCCGGAGAAGCTCACATCTCCGAATGACTCTATGAGGCTCTGCACGAACCAATATCGGGCGGTCAAGATCGCAGACCTTTTCTTCCGCCATCGCCGCATCTCCCATCGCCTTGGAAGACGGGACATGCCCCCGAGGCCCCGGTAGACGTCCCTTCGCCAGGAAAGACACAAACCGTTGGCTTCAGTGCAGTAAGCCGCACATGGCCTCTTTCACGGGACAAGATGTCCTGTCACGGTGCCTTTCCATTTCCTTTCTCGTCAACTCGCCAGAGGGCGTCTCCTCTGCCTTACAGCTGGCAGAAGAGAGAAAGGGGGGCGCCGACCACCCAATCCGGTGACGAGGGAGAAATGAAAAGACTGAACGCGAAATCAGAGTTTGATTGCCGATTACCGTTTATATATATACGTCTTCCTGCAGGTTTCCCCGAAGAACAAAATATGAGACACGTACTTGCTGCTTTCTGACGCAATCAGTCTTTGAAGCGGCGCTGCAAACTCCTCCAAATCATCCCGTATTTTTTTTTTCTCATCAAGTGGTGGTCACTACAGCTTCCACCCTTGTCGTCATTTTTTTTTTCGCCATCTACGATGAGGAAACTAGAACTGGACGCTTGGAAGATGGGACTTGGGTCGGAAGGCGCGTTAGGGTATGGGGGGGAGGGTGGAAACGCTTGGTCTACTCCTCAAAGGGAGGGTGGCCGGCAGTTCGCTGAAGCGCCTGAGGGACGCACAAATCTCATTTCCTGTCTAGCGGCAGCGAAATTTCCGCCTCACCCGCTGCATTCAGCTTGTTCATTGCCTCCTTTTTTTTTTTGCTTCTATCGACTACTTTTCTTTTTTTTTTGTTCATTGATCGTGCGCATCCGGGCCCGCCAGACAGGACACCAACCGTCTCTCAAAGCATCCACTGGCCGCTTGCTCGTTTTCGCCCCCTTTTTCTGTAGCCCTCGAATACCCTTTCGTTTTCCCATAATACGAACTCTGGAAAGTTGCGCGAAAAAGTAATCGCGTACGAGCGGCAAAGAAAGCTAAAACGGGTCAACGTAAACCAGCAGACCACTGCGAAAAAAAAAATAATGAGTAGTGAGCTGAAACACACATCATAGCGAAAACGAGGATGAGCGGAAGAAAAGGAAAAGCGATAACAAAAATTCGACTTCCGCATGCATTGTCCGCTCGTGATGTCCGCTCGGTCGTTACCGGACATTGGAGAGACGCGGGCGCCGCTGGTTACCGAATTTTCTATACGAAGCCGATGCACCTAGCAGTGAGGCATGCTTATATAAAAAAGAAAGAGGAACTGCGATCTCCAATAAGAAGCATGCCGGGGTCGTAGCGCGAATTTTCTCGAGGGGCGCACCTCTACTTCTCCGCGGCTCTTTTCCCATTTTCCTCGAAATGCTCGAGACAGCATTTTGGTACGCGTGGTGTCAGCTGAATTTGGGCTCGCATTCGTATCGGCGGCGATATCTTTTTGACAGCCGCAGCACCCTGTGTGCGCTTTCACTTGCGATGCGTGGTGGTGGGTGTATCTGCTGCTGGAAACAAGTGGAAGTTCTAGAGTGGGATGCAAGTGAGAAAGGAAGAAAAAGGAGCTAAGGAAGGACTAGAACGGCGGAAGAGAAAGTGTCAGTTCCTCTCTCCCCTTCAACAAACGAGCGTGAATGGCTCAAGACTGCCGCTGCTCGCTTGTTCAGAAGACCGTCATTCAGGAAGCCTCCACCGGCCGAGCGGCCTTTTCGCTGCATGCGGTGGCCGTTCGCTGGACCGTTTCTCCGAGAGCCACTGGAGAGATGAGGAGAGTTCCCCCACACTTCCAAATCTGCCTAGACTCTTCTTGCTTTTGAGGGAAACCCGCTTCAGCTTTATGGTCTCCACCTCGCAAACCTCTTCTTTCCCTTCATCTGTCAGTGACGCGAATGGCAGTTGTTTTCAGCAGCGAAATCCGGCATCGCCACATGTCGGGAAAAGTTAGAGTGACCGGCGGCTCCCAAGCCCTGTTTGCCGTCAACGTTTAGCCGGGCATCTTCGCCACCATCTTGTTCTTCGCATTATATGTTTTCGTTCAATGGCGGCCACTATGGGCTTCCGGATGTCTGTTCCACTAACAGCGGGGCATGTCCGTTCTTTGTCCGGGGACCCAAACGAATGCGAACCGTGAATACGTGGCGGGAGTCCCTTTTATGCTGTCTCTTTCCTACTACTTCTTATT